GCCATTGAGATTTCATTAAAAAGATGCACAAAAATCATTTAAATGCTCAATTAATGAAAACAAACATGTACAGTTTATGAAAACACCTTATTTAAAATCTCAGACAATTTTGTGAAAAGGTTCAATAATCTAGACTCAAACAAAGTGTCACACTCGAATCAGCTAATGAATCAAAAACACCTGCAAAGGGTTCGTGAGCCTTTAGATGGTCTCTCAGTCAAAGTTGGATTACTGAAATAAACTGACTTTTGCACCATATTGTCATTCTTTCAGTTTCACATATGATTATGTTAAACTTAACATAAGTTAAAAAGTCATAATAAGATCGTGCGTTTTTAAATTGCTGTTCTTTATACGAGACCATTTTGGAACCATTCCCTTGGGAAGGATGAGTCACAAACACACAAGTGTTTCTCAGGTTCACAAGGCACAGAGATCCCAGCATAACAGCTCGTAACATTGTCAGGATGCTTTAAGTGTTTATTGATTTCTAACACTCATGCTCTAAATATAAAATCACCCCCAGCTTGGTATTGGTTCTCCAGACGGTTCCAGAGTTTTCTGTCATACGCTGTCAGAGGCTTTCCAGACAAATGATCCTATTTCTGATGCGCTTGATGAGTTAAAGCCTCTGACATTTGCTGTGGGGTTAAACCAACATTAGTCATCTATTAAACCAGCTCCTGTTGTTTTAACCTGTTACGTTGTGAACCAGAGCTATTTTCAGCTTGTTTTCCTATGGTGACACAATCAAAACCTTTTGATGTCTTCTTGTTTGCATGAAAAACATGTTAAATTCTCTTATTTCCAAGCTAAATGTCTCAACTTTTAAAAAAGAAGCAATGAGTGATTGTCTGCTCTACTCCAGTCTGGTTTATAGTTCTCACTTACAGCTTTGATAATGTAATTTAACCGAGTTTCACCTGAATGACCTTCAGACCGCACCACAGCTTGGTTTTTATCTCGGTTTTCATCAGTTCTCTACACATGGCTCTCTGCCAAGCTGGTGTAACAGTCAACTCTACTGTTTATGAGAGGTTGTTGGTTTTGATGCATGTCCAAAGACGATTGTCGGAAAAAACAGGAAAATCAGGCATTACATTAAGTGTCTGGTCTAGGCTGAATATTTTTAAACAAATTACTTTTTTTTATATCAAAATTATTGTTAAATTTAGAAAGCAAAATTAACATTAAAAAGCTCAAAGGCTATAATAGTTTAGATTTTGTTTTATTACAGTCAGAGGTTTTCCAAATACATCATATTCATCTTTTTAACAGCAGCTGTTATCAAAAGAGCGGTTTATTGTTGTGCTTCTTCAATTAAATGATACGATTTTGATTTATCCCACTTAGTCCCAAACCAGCACGTTTTCCATCAACAGGCCAATAAACACAAATAAAACGTGTCCAAATTGTCTGTTTTTGTTAAATTATAAAATGTATGAAAAGTCTATAAAATGAATAAACACACATTATTAATTTCCCTTCATCTGAAGAGTTTAAATAATTTAAGTTTGGTTTAGTTTAAAATGATGAAAAAAAGGTCAATATTGATTTGTCCAAATCTTGAAAATAATCTGAACCCACATAAAATTTGCAGCTCATGTGCAGTCTGTTACAACTCAGTAAATTTGTGACTTAATGATTAGCATCATATCTGTCAGAGCCATATCTGTTGTCTTTTATAGGTTCAGTTGCCTGTGGCAGCCATCTCAAATGAGGTTGACTCTCAACGTTAATCAGCTGTAGATAACCACTCAGTCTTTATTTACTGACTGGTTCATTGAAGTCCACCCACTGATTGAAGTTGCATCGAGTCACTGACTTGTTGTGTCAGAGACTTTACAGCAATCCCCATACTAAGCAAGCATGTAGCAACAGTGGAGCGGAAAACACCCCTTTAACAGGAAGCAGCTATCCGCTACGACTGACTGGGATTTGAGAAGACTGGGAATTGTCTCTTCTATGTTATGTAATATAAATAGTTCAATATCAAAGTAAAAAAAGGATAGAATATTTTTTCCAAATTTATTTATTTTTTGTTTAGACTGCTTTACACTTAAAGACACAATGTGTAAGAATAAAGTAAGATTTCTACAGTGTAATAATCCCAAAACAGTCTAATGTGTCGTTCTCAATCATATTTCATTCTCAGGGGTTGCAGGGTTGTCAGTTTTCCTCTTTTTGAAATAAAGGAAGAAGGGATAAAGCTACTCTTTACCATCAGTGAGTATGAGGTTGCCGTGTTTCCTGTGAGCTAATGCTGCAGCGCCGACATTTGTAATTTTGACTACGGCCGACAAAAAGCGAGAGTTGTTTAAAGAACCAAAGCCAGTAACAAGAGCAACCCAAAAGTTATTTCTTGTACCCCAGAGAAGCCATAACTTCTTTTTGTTTTACTAAATACTAAATTTGAGTCAAGAAGGCTAGAGGCTAACGTTGAGCTAACATTGAGCTAACCATATTAACGGTGAATTAAAGTTAAAGTCCCATTAGTAATCACACACTGGTGAAACTCATCTCAAAAGTCACCAATCCCCGTGGGGAGCAGTGAGCTGCAGCTGTGGCTGTGTTCAGGAACTATTTGATGGTTTAACTCCCCTATCTAACAAGCTGAGTATCAAGCAGGAAGGTATTGAGTATTAAATGATGGGAAACTTGGGTTTAGAAGTGGTGAGCGCATAAAGAAGTGGAGGAGAATGAGGGACAAATTTGTCTGACTTAAAAAGTTTCTGAAATACAAAAAAATAAATAAATAAACACAATGTAAACACAATATTAAATGCTCTTATCTTGGACCAGATACATTTCAGGACACTACAGAACAGAGCTACGCCCACTGTTGTCCTGGCGGGGAATTGCTTTGCAGCACTCTCCAGGAGACGGTGAAGTCCGAAAGCAAATCGTCTCTGTCCGTGCCTGCGTGTCTCTCCCTCGTGGAGCTGACAGAGAAGCATAAATCACCAACAACCCAATATTACAGTATGTAATGTAATGTAATGTATGTGTGACGTGAATAATGACTGAAAGGTTATGTTTTACTTCTTTTAATGAATCATTCAGAGCAATAACAGTAAGCTAACAGCAAAACAACCTGACTTCCTCTATGCCGGAGGCACATTACTGTAATAAGTGTAGTAAATGCTCCCTACTGTAAAACGCCTAAGAGTGCTATGACAACTCAATTCAAGTTTATTTATATAGCGCCAAATCACGACAAGAGTCGTCTCAAGGCACTTCACATAATAAACATTCCAATTCAGGTCAGTTCAATGTCCATCCATCCATCTTCTAAACCAGCTTGTCCACGTAGGGTCTTTGGGGGGGGGGGGGGGGGGGGGGGGCTGTTGCCTATCTCCAGCGGTCAACGGGCAATCAGGCGGGGTACACCCTGGACAGAGAGCCAGTCCATCGTAGGGCAACACAGAGACACGCAGGACAAACAATCCTGCACACACACATTCACACCTAGGGACAATTTAGACAGACCATGTGAAACAGTCATGTGTTTGGACTGTGGGAGGAAGCCGGAGTACCCGGAGAGAACCCACGCATGCACAGGGAGAACATGCAAACTCCATGCAGAAAGATCCCAGGCCGGGAAGCGAACCCAGGACCTTCTTGCTGCAAGGCAACAGCTCTAACCACTGCGCCACCGCGCAGCCAATCAGTTCAATGTATTTATCTAATTATCAACTTACTGTGTGTGACACGTCTCTGCTTAAACCTGGTTTATGCTTCTCCGTCAGCTCCGCAAGGGACAGACACGCACGGATTGACGGAAGCGTTTTGCTCTCATACTTCTCCGTCTCCTAGGGAGTGTTGCAAAGCAATTGCCCGGCAGGACAACAGAGGGCGTAGCGCTGTTCTGTGGTATCCTGTCATGTATCGGTCCAAGATAGTGTGTTTATATTGTGTTTTTTGTGTATATAAGAGACTTTTAACACGGACATATTTATCTCTCATTCTCCCACCGCTTCATGCGCTCCCCACCTCTAAACCCACGTTTCCTGTCATTTCTGTCCACAAATAAAATGCTTGCTGCGCATCTTTTCACTCCTCCAGTCACGGGAGGATGAAATGTTCATATTTTTAGAGTTTTTTTGCAAGGCATTCTTCAAGCTTCTCCGTGTCTGCCACTAGTTAAACTCGGCTCTCTTTGCAATGGCGGCGCTGTAAACATCAGCGGTGTCCTGACCAATCACAAGCTCGCGTAATCCGTTTCGTTCGATGGATGTTTAAAAAAGTGGGCTCGACTCCGTATGTACTTGCGTGCCTGCCGGAGCCCTACACAAGGACGGATAATGGCGTTGCGTGTCTCCGCACTGACGCAGACGGAGAAGCATAAATCAGGCTTTAGAATTTCCTGGTACTGATCCGTAACTGGCAACAGCCATAAAACCCACAAAACAGGAGTGAGAGAGTGATTGCAGAAACCAAATTTGACCACAGGATGTCATCTTACTTACACATTGCACCTTTAAGAGCCTGAACATTAAAAAAAACCACAAGGAAAAAAAAAAAGGAAAAAACAACCACATTTATGTCTTTCTCTGTTACTCTGTGTTGGATAAAAATTGGAAGCCAGACAATAGAAAATTTAAAAAAGTTCCTCTTTCCTTTCAGATATTCCATTAAATGCTGATTTTGATTTTTGTTTTTCTTCTGGAAAACGGAATTGAGGAAACTTTGCTCATTTCACATGAGTATGAAACATTTACCATTTACTTAAAATGATGTCATTGGGTATTATGAACATTTAGACCATGTTGCTCTGCTGTAGTTAGAGAAGCCAGCCACTTTTGTCTCACAGGACCTTGTTAAGCTGTAATCCCAGCTGAGGTTAACACTCACCTGTGTACGTAGATGCTTTAGTCATGCAGGCCTCTAACCAGAGCCGCCCCCTCCCCCTCAGGGGAGGGGGCCTCAGCGTTGCTCAGTGACCTGTTGTGACCACTTGTTTTTGTAGCATTAATCCCCCTGACTTGTTTTCCTTTCAGTAACCACCTCTCCCCAGTCCGCTGCAGGCCAGATGTGGTGGAGTATGTTTGCTTTTTCTACTCTAACATACATAAATATACCTATATTAGTAAGAATTCCATCTCATACATAATTATACCCTATTTCAGAGCTGCTAAACTGTTGTTTTCTTGCCTTATATGACAATAACACTAAACTCCCCAAGGCTAATAACAGGTCGTGGAGCATGAGGTGGTTTAAATTACTTAATCTACTTATTTTCTCCTCTGCTCCCTGAAGTTTTCTGGACCAGACCATTCGCTCAGCGGTGGAGCAGCACCTCTTTGACGTAAACCCTTCAGCAGATCAACAGTCAGAGACCATCGGGCTGACCGCACGTCCTTTGAGCACGAGGGTGACGACAACGGCGCGGCAGAGACGTCGGCTCCAGAGAGAGCAGCAGCAGGACGGCTTAAGAGTCAGAGAGAGAAACAGGTAGAGTCTGTCAGGAAGCATCTCACGTCGATGTGCACTGCTGATTATATGATCAACACAAGATTTAACCCCTTCCTTTTAAATGAAAATTCAAATTTACATTTTAAGTCATTTTGCTTGAAGTGTAAAATGCTGCTGAAGTGAAATCATGCCTGCTTTATTCCCACAGTGATACAGAAATTTGCCTATTATACAAAAATGTTATTACAATAAAATGTTGTCTTTTATTTCTCAGAAAACTAATCTTTCTAGCAAACTTTTATGCAGAAATCCCAACATTTAATTTATATGAATGATTAATTATACTTGTATTACACATCTCAGGAAAGAGATGCAAACAGTGCGCGTGACCTCTGTAGCTTATGTCACATGGTTGCATGTAGTCCCAGCAGCAAGGAGAGCCTCTGCAGAACTGGGACTAACATTAAATATTTCTGCCAAAATAACAACTGAAACAAGAGTAAAGGCTTATTTAGTAACATTTATTTGGCTGGATGTGAAGTTTGATCTGTTTTATGGTGACATCAACACTTTTTGATAACTTCAAATTAGCCACTAGCTTCAAATTAGTCCTGAAAGAGGTCAAATCTATTTCTCTGAACAGAGGCTATTCAAAACACTCTTTTCAAAAGTGTAGAGTTATTCAAGTTTCAGTGGCATACGGTCTTACATAACTGGAATTTATTACGATTCATTAGATTTTTTTTTCATTAAATAAGAATAAATCAACACTTTTTTATAAAAGCCCAGAAATAAGCTGTTTCCATCTTTAAAGATGTAAGAAGCTTAATATTTACAGCAGACCATTTTCTGACCTGAGTGATTCTGCAGTGAGTCATTTGTGTTGGAAAGTTTGTCCACAAAGACAAAATGCAGCCATAACCACTGGAGTCAGACGCTAATCCTTGTTGATGAAGACCTGCTGGAGTATCAAAGGATCAGTGACATGTGGATTAGAAGACCGTCTCAGTCAGGAGGAAACAGAAAATGTCACTAAGAGCGTGGATAGTAAACAGACTGTAAATAGAATTAACACAAATGCTAAACAGCACATTATCTGCTTTAGATGGTATAAGTAAGGCACCAGAGTGACCCTGGCTTTGCTTTTTATCCAATGTCAAACTGATAAAGACGGTGCAAAAAAATCAAAACAGATGACTAACTTTGTCAGCGTTTCTGTCTGAGAACAGAGCTGCATCCATCAGGACGGAGTTGGACCCCAACAAGGAAAACATCCCATCGAGCGGAGGCAGTTGTTGGGGCAACGTGGGGGAGGAAACGGGTGGCTGTTTGGACTTACGAGGAGAACAGGGCATCCATGTGGAGCGAACCACCAAACCCAGGAAGTCAAAGCGCAGCCCGACTCTAGTGCAGCTGGAGAACCGAGCCACCCACACAGTGAGTCGGAACGTTATTCATCCCCCTCTCTGTTTATCTGTGTGACAAATGGGCATGCATCCAGAAATGTATTCGTTTCTTCGATCCATCTGATTTTATATGAAAGATTTCTAGGGCTGTCTGCACGTTTGATTTTTTTCTCAATGCACCTGTGATAATGGACATTAACTCCCTGTCACGCCTTCTTTTTCTTTTTCTAATGGTTAGCTGCAGTTAACAAGAACCACTAAACGGAGGCGAGCAGGGAAATGAGAGGAAATCACATGGCGCCCTTGGTTCCCTGCTACGTTTAATAGGGCACATTAATTGTTACATCATTTTTGTTCATGAAGTAGTTTAAACGTAAAAAGGCCATTTATGAGTTTTCAGCTTTTGTCCACTTAGAAAAAGAAGCTGGGACCAAAATGATATGAATGTATTGAGTCATGAGCTGTAATAATAATTGGTTTTAATTATTTACGTTATCTTACTATTGTGCAAATTTAAAATCTTGCATAAAGACGGTTTATTCTTAGGTTGGAAAATACTTAAATCGTCGTCGTCTCGTCGTCGTTGTCTTCCTCCGCTTATCCGGGTCCGGGTCGCGGGGGCAGCATCACAACTAGGGAGCTCCAGACCGTCCTCTCCCCGGCCACCTCCACCAGCCCCTCCGGCAGGACCCCAAGGCGTTCCCGGACCAGATTGGAGATGTAACCTCTCCAACGTGTCCTGGGTCGACCCGGGGGCCTCCTGCTGGCAGGACATGCCCGAAACACCTCCCCGGGGAGGCGTCCAGGAGGCATCCTGACCAGATGCCCAAACCACCTCAACTGACTCCTTTCGATCCGGAGGAGCAGCGGTTCTACTCCGAGTCCCTCTCGAATGTCCGAGCTCTTCACCCTATCTCTAAGGCTGAGCCCGGCCACCCTACGGAGGAAACTCATTTTAGCCGCTTGTATCCACGATCTCGTTCTTTCGGTCACTACCCAAAGCTCATGACCATAGGTGAGGATTGGGACGTAGATCGACCGGTAAATCGAGAGCCTGGCTTTCTGGCTCAGCTCCCTCTTCACCACGACAGATCGGCCCAGCGTCCGCATCACTGCAGACGCTGAACCAATCCACCTGTCGATCTCCCGATCCCTCCTACCCTCACTCGTGAACAAGACCCCGAGATACTTAAACTCCTCCACTTGAGGTAGGACCTCTCCCCCGCCCCGGAAAATACTCAGATGATGATAATAATTAGATGAAGCTAATTGAACATTCCTTTTTTAATGGATGAGTCCAACTATCTAACGTGAGGTTCTGTTGGAACTGTCAATGTGCCCCCTGGACAGCTGTGGCTTCAGTGTAGCTCATCTCCATCAGTGTGTGAATATGTGTGTGAATGGATGAATGATACACAGTAGTGTAAAGCACTTTGGAGTCCTCTGACTCTGACAGGCGCTATACAAGTGCGGCTCATTTATAATTTATCATGGCTGTAATCAAAAAGTGTCACCTGTTGTAGACAGCGCTTTCAACAACCTTGATTAGCAGAAACAGAGGTTATTTTTTTATTGGATTGATGAGCTAAAAGCTAGTAAAGGCCGGGAAAGTTTCAAAATAGATTTTTGACATGTTATGACTTTTTTCTTTAGTTAAAATAGCTCTGTGGTCGATACAAAACACGTTCATGGAGTTCTTTGCACGAAACTCCTCTCACATGAAGCGATTTCAGCAGTTTTATCCTTGACAGTTTCAGTACCTTCCAGAATGAATCGTTTACTTCTTCTTCCGGCTCTTGGAGAGTACAGACACTTTTTTCTCCTCTCCCTCCCCGCTTCTCCCAAGGCTCTCTGTCCTGTCTGCCTGTGCACTGCGCTTCTCTGCATTTTTTCTGGAAACTGGAAATTATTAAACATGGATCTGATCAGCTGGTCTCTCAACGCGATTAACAAATTTTTTTCAATGATGAGAATGGGAGAAGGGGCTCCCGGATGCCCCTCTGGGACAGAGCAAGCTGGGAATATCATGGACTCCTGGAAACAGTGGAACCTGACACGCCTCTCTCAACTGTCTGTAAAGGATTCTGAAGATGTCTGGATATTTGTTGTTTTGGTGTTGAGATTCCTGCTGTTTGGTCTGAGCGGTTACCTGGCATACCAGAAAATTAACGAGCTTTCGAGGAATATTGGCTTAATCCCGGAGCTCAGGGATGGAATGCATCATGCTGTAAACTCACAAACTCATATAAATGTCGAGTCGTAAGCTTGGAACTTTAGCTGAGATTCAGGCTCTGGCACAGAAGGTTGATTCGATCAAGGAGAGAGTTGACGGATCAGCACGGATTGGGATAGATTAATACTGCCATTATTGGACCGGGAGGGGTTGATGACCTACAGAACTCTAAGGCAGAGAGGAAATATCTCTGTCTGTACCCAAAACAATTTTGTTTTCTGAATCTGGTGCCCTTGGAGCCTGTGAGGCTGAAGTGATAAGTAACTCCTCCCCTCAGAAGAAATGTGGAATGCTGCCGTCGCTATGGAAACCCTTTCTCCCTATCCCAGCCTGGACGGGACTGTGACCGGTGAAGGCCGTGGAACCGTATCTAGGAGTCACTGTGCCCTCTAACCCATTATCTCCCTCCCCTGTCCAAACGGAGGTGATGAGCGCTGATCTTGCGGCTGCACTATCCGAAGTGAGGAGAGTCCCAACCCTACCTCCCCACCTAGTGGACACTTATGTTGTGTATCGTCTGAAGTCTGTGTGCGTATCTGTCTGAGGTGTTTTTTTGCATAGCAAAGCTACCCTCTCTGTTGTGGGTAACTCTGAAGTGCCTTTTTTTCCCCTCCCCCTGACTTTATCCTCATACAAACCCTCTTGATCTATAACGGTAGCGCGACTCGTGTTGCGAATGACCACAGTCACCAATTCTTGTCATGTGTCTATGTATGTATGTCTGATCTCAGAATTGTGTGTACTGAAACAATTGAATTTCCCTCTGGGATTAATAAAGTATTTAAAGTATTTTTGAATTGAATTGAATTTCAGGGCTCTGTCTCTTTAAGAAAATGAGCTGGAACTGGCCATGCCCAACCATCTGCTGCTCAGGCTGCTAAAAGCTGAGAAGCTCCGATATCCAGGAGGGGCTTACAGTAGAGCCGCTGCTCCTCTAGATGAGAGGTGGGTCTATGCTCATTTTTTCATTTGTTAAGTCAGAAACTGGGACATTGTGAAACATTTTGTTTTAGTCACATGATTCCTAAAACCATTTTTATAGAGGCAGTAGAGAGACAGACCCACATGTCAGCAGGTGATTTTTGCACAATGTTTCCTTTTTAATAAAATTCTTCTGATGTGGTTTTTGCGCAAGAAGCATGACTGGTCTGCATTATTTGACTTGTCACTAAAATGGCATTAAACTTGTTTGATTCTGCCGTTACTCAATCGATCATCAGCGCTGTTACATAGCACCAAATCTGACTAAACTCCACTGCACTATTTCTTAGATGAATGCGTTTTCCTAAAACATAAAACCAGGGTCTACTTTTGTCTTTGTACAACAGCTCAGTTCTTGTAAAGCCTCCAGAGAATGTATCACATCAGACTCAGAGCTTTGTGTTCACGAGGAGTCCACATCGATCCAAATGAATCAAGTGTTTAACAGCCTGTAAAGCAGCCTGAAATTAATGCTGCTTTTAAAATGGCCTGTATTTATATACCACCTTCTAGAGCCCCCTTCAGACAGGCCATGAAAAACGGAAATGTTCCGGACTCTGTCCGTAAGACCTTTGTGTCTGAATACAAACATCCGGATAACCTTTTCCATAATTAAACCGGACGAAGCCCCTAGTAACAGGACCGGACTTGTCACGGACAAGGTGGCTGCTTCAGACTGGTGAGGTCGGGTTCCGGACAGGGAGGAGGGGGAGGAGGGGGAGGAGGAGGGGACCGGGGGACGCTGTGCGCACCTAGATAGCTCGCTCCTGTAGCATGCGGCAAACCATGGCAGCTCGCCTCCTACGGTACCATCTCCTAGACGCGCGACGGAGCACTTGAGCTTCATCATCCAGGTCTCTTATGTGTCTTCGTGTGCGCAGAATTATGCTCAACATAAGTCCGATCAGTGAGAGGAATTCTATCTCTTCTGCCATGTTTGACTGAATGGCTTTGTTTGGGTAAATCACGCGTGTACGCCCGCCGCACTATGTCCCCCCCCCCCCCCAGACATCTGGAACTTTTCCCTGCTGTGTGAAGGCAGCCGAAAGGACAAGTTCCGGTACAAAAGTGGTGTGTCTGAAAACACAGTTCTGGTTAAAAACCGGATTGAATTGTCCACACATATTCCAGAACGTCTATCTGAAAAGGGTTTTAGGGTTCTACACCCCCCCCCCCCCCCCCCCCCCAAAGGGACTTTACAACACCGTCAGTCATTCATCCATTCAAACACACATTCACACACTAGTGGGAATGAGATACGATGTCACCACAGCTGCTCTGGGGCACACTGACAGAAGTGAGGCTGCCGAACACTGGCGCCACCGGTCCTTCCGACCACCACCAGCGGGTGTCTTGCCCAAGGACACAACAGCAGCATTCTCTGGTCAAAGCCGGGATAGAACCTGCAACCTTCTGATTACTGGACAACCCGCTCTACCTCCTGAGCTACTGCTGTCAAATCAATACAGTATATCAGAGATGGAGAATAGTTCCCCTTTAAAGGCCTGGCACAACGTAATTGAGACTTTATCTGGGAGAAAATGTGCTTTGATTTGTCTTCTGATTCTAACATGAGTTGATCTGATTGGCTGAACCTCGTCTGTGACAGACACGGCTCATCCCGTCGTTCGCCAAGATTATTTTGGAAACAGTTAGCCTTTTTTCCAAACACCTTCTCCACAAAGATGTCCCAGATGGTTTTCTGTAACAGGCCATCTGGTGGGCTCATGTCAGGTCTGCTTTGTGGCTGTGGTGAGCTGACCTGATCTTTACCTCTGTGAGCCGAAAGCTTGCTGATAACTGAAGTATTTGAGTGTTTGGAGAGAAAAACATTGCTCCCCCTGCTTTATTTTCTCCTGACTGTTTCTTGACTGTGTTACCATAGGTCTGAGCAAAGCTATGTAAACTACAGTTTTTCTTACATGACTACTTATTGTAAACAGCTTAAAATATCACATGAACCATTGGAATATTTTTACACTTTGTGACCCTGCTCGAAGTAGCTGTTAGCTTGTGAATCCTCTCAGAATACAACTATTTCTCCAAACATGGTTTCATATTATGATTTAACAGCTTCCCTCATAACCTTCTATGTATTATATGCATATGACTTACGGTATTTTATTATTAATGGATAAAGATGTACTTGCAGTGTGATCTTACCTGTGGGTGGGATTATGAATTCCTAATACATTTGATTTGTGAAAAAGACTCAACTTTCATTGTGAAGGATGTGCTCCAAGGTTTTAAAAGCCACATTTATTGAGAAACAGTTTTTTTATCTGTTATTTTTTAAATATGATCAGTACTCTGAGTTTCACAAGCTGGCTAAACGTGAAAATAGTCTTCCACCTCTATGTCCAGCATTAGCCGCCAATAGAAAATAGACAGGGAAACACTCGGATTACAAAAGCCTGTCAATTGCACGTAACAGGAATTTGCATTCATGGACTCTGCCATCTTGCCACGTGACCAAGTGACGGGGAAGGCTGTTGTTGATTTAGTGTTTCAAGAGTAAGCAGAGAATGTCTTGGCCAATAGAAGCTAACCGTTAGCATTAGCGACTCCACAACATCGCAGAACTCCTTCAGGCTGGTGTTAGTGGAGATAAAACATCAATGTCGCAAAGCAAACGGAGTCAGCAATATGACTTTGTTAGCCAATCAGAGATGAGATGTCAGGAAATAAGACTCCAAAAGGCCGTCATCTAAATGCGCCGTGCCAATGTCTGAATTGTAATCATAGTAATTACAAATTTTTCCAAGTTAATAAATCTCAAAAGTACATGACAGGCGTGGTCAAAACACACATTCATATTTAATTACTCCGGGGACTCATGAGCCGAGCGTAAGGAGAGGAGACTTAGGCTCCCTATATCTTCAACAAAATGTCCTCTTCTTCTAGACTCATTGCCTGAATGTATTCATTTTTGTCCTTGAGAAAATAGTGGAAAGAAACCCTGAAGTTTACTAAATCTTTAACCTGTGAGAGTTGCATTACCCATCATTATCTGTTCCTGACATGAAATGTAGAAGTGTGAAAAATATATATTGTTTGAAACTGTTTTAGATCAGACAAAAATATTGACTGTATTAACACTCGCAGGCTCAAAATAAGTTTTGATAAAAGGACAAACAACTAAGTCCTTCGGGGATGCTTCTGAGTAAAAAAAAAATGCTCATGAGATACGTATGTGGAGTAACCAGGTAGGTAGGTTTTAACGTTGCTAATCTGCAACGCCTGCCTCCAGAGGGCTAAGGTATTTTTCTTTTTTTCATCTTGCATTGTAAATATCTAGATTTGATACCATACGATGTAATCGTACTCCATAAAGTTGTATTCGAAAACTATAGTAGACCAGGGTTCGTAATCTCTCCTTCATGCATGTCTGTCAGCATTGTTTTGATTGGATGTTACTTTCACTAAAGCTGTGGGAATTCCAAGAAGCATATCTGTTGGGGATCTTTTCTATACAAGGAATGTATGAGTGTCAGGAGTGTCAGAGCAAGAACAAGGTGTGAAGCTGAAGTTTGTAACAGCAGAAACAAAGTATCTCACAACTCATCTTACAGTCTAACTTCAAATTACCAAGAATGTGACCGAGTGGCACGTGGCATCATTCCTGCCCACGTTCGCTGATGTAAAGCTGCGCTATGTGGCGAGTTGTCGTGCTGATTTATTTAGCTTCACACACAAGGAGCACGAGAGGAGACGCTCGCATCAGACGTTCATAAATTATTTTACTCTTTTCCTGCATACCAAGCTCTTACGCAACTGTACAGATGACACATGATAACAGCGATGAACTGAGGTCTGACAGGATCTCTGTGTGTGTGTGTGTGTGTGTGTGTGTGTGTGTGTGTGTGTGTGTGTGTGTGTGTGTGTGTGTGTGTGTGTGTGTGTGTGTGTGTGTGTGCGTGCGTGCGTGTGTGTGTGAGTGTTCGTGCGTGTCTGTGTCCACGACTGCCAAGAGCTCTGGGTCAAAAGCCACTGAGGCCAAACAGGAGTTGTGTAAATTTACGGAACTTTTGATTGTTGTTTTCTGTGTCAGAAAACAATGGGAGGCAATCCGTTATCGCTTTAACCTGACAGACACTCTGATCTCCAGCTACCATGAAATATATAGATTGTAAAAGTAACCAACAAGTAAAATCTTACACAGTAAAGTCGGATTCGTTTTGCTTACTTGAAAAAGGTATGCAAACAGATTGTACTTAAAATAATAAGTACACAGGACTAGGTAATTATGTGTTGGAGCTACTCAAAGTAAAATGCTTTTTAAACACAAATGACTAAAAAACTATTGCAAAATACTGAGAAATTTGCTTACTGAACTAGTATTTCGGAGTTATACATACTTAGCAGTCGTTAAATATAAGCCAAATTTGTAATATTTATAGTAACTTTTTATGAATCGGTGACTGCAACACATAATTGCCTATGTGCTTTATTTTAAGCGTAGCTTCTCCATCATCCAGTTACATGAAGAAGACACAAAAGATAAGGCTGCACAGAGGAGAGCTTCTATGGAAGCCTGGAGGTCCAAATTGTGTTGTTTTTGTTAAGCATCAATGTTTGAAAATAAAATCTAGTGGAAACATATAGCTGGATGCCACTCAACAGAGCTTGTGGAGTTAAAACGTAATGTCAGTATACTTGTTGCCCTTGTGTTTTTGACCTGTTTAACTATCAGAAGGGGAGAAGGTGCGAGTCATTTGGGAGGCATAACAGTATTGTTGTGAGGTTTTTTGGGGTCATTTTCATTGTTTTTATGATTGTCTGGAGCTAAAAACTAAGTTTGGTTAACGCTAGGATGTTGCCATTCAACCCATGAGTGTTTAAAATGTGTGTATTTACAGCTCAGAGAATGTGTTGCTGAAAGCTCTTCTGAGAACCACATGGACCTTCTTCAAAAAGGGTAAAAACTCTTTATGCCCTTTCACAATAAAAACACAAGCTGCACTGCCTGCTTCGGTTTTGCAATAATTAGCCACCAGCTATGAAGAGACGCCATGATTGTTATGTTGACCTGCTCTTGCAATCATGTACCTAATCAGATAAGAACAAGATTTACGTGTGTGGGTGAATGAATGAATGAATGATTGAATGAACGAACGAACGAATGAATGAACTATGAGAGGTTCACTAACTGCAAGTTACAGGGTGTTTGGTCTCATCCTGGTGTCACATTTTACTGAAGTGGTCTCTTCTGTTTGACTTTCCAGGTATGAGATTTCCAGAGAAGCTGGACTTGGATCGGTTTCACAGGTGGGTTTGTTTGTCTGTGATCTCTGAAAAAGAGAGGGCTGAAAATGCTCAGAGACACAAACATCATCTCTGTAACAGTAGTCATGGGAAGTTGGGGGTGGGATGTAAACAATAAGCAAAAAATGTGAAAGCAAGTCAGGGGCAAGCTAAATATAGAACAGAGAACAACAATACTGCAGGTGTAGCTTCTGTTCAATGAGATAAAAGCAGAGCAGGTGTGAGTTCAAGGAATCAAAAAGGTGGGGGGGGCTGCAGGTCCACTGTAGAAGTGTGGAGGGGTTCAAATTACAAGAAAGTTGAAGATGAGCAGCAACAAGGATTAAATCAACCTTGGCACAATTTATCTCTTTCTGACAGGTTGGGCTCTTTTCTTTCAGGAGATTGTAGGGATGTGTATTAGTGAAATGATGGCGATACAATATGCATCACGATGTATTGCGATACATTCAGTCAGATGATTTTAGTGATTTTTTTTAGACTGAATTTATTATAGAAAGTTCAGTAAACAGTCCAAACTGATGCATAACATGTTTAACATGATGTATCTGAACCAAGCCCCCACAATGCGGCTCAAAAATTGAAGCAATCCCGGAAGTACCGAACATTGCAGTTCCACCCTCATCCACTGGGGGCTGGTGTCAGAAGCGAGCAAATCCTCATTGACTCCCATGTTAAAAATACCAATTTCACAGCAGAAATAAACATGTTTACAGCCTGGTACCAAAACATGTTTTTGGTTTAAATGATCTAATTTACACTCATGGCATCTCTGAGGGGGTGAATTTTTTCTCACTCTTCTGTTTAAGTGTATTAAAAGCCTACAATTCTGTATAATTAATGAGCATCAGACCCACGTGACCACAGAGCTAGCTCCGTGGAAAGGCCTCAGTAGAGCCTCGGTCTGGCCTGGAAACTGTTCCGGGATTTTGAGTCTCTGTGTGTGTGTGTATTCTTTTTTGGATATTATTTGTGCAATTGTTGGACAAAATGACTTGCTGTGGCATTAATTGCACTAATAGAGCGTCCAAGGAGTCTCCACTTCATTTTTTTTGGTAAGTAAAATTATATTTTTATGTATTTTAGGTCACTGCCGAGCTGAGCTTAGATTTTAACATGTACTGTTTAACCATGAAATTTAAATGTAAGGGTAAAACCCAGTACATTTAACATAATGCTGCACTTTAGAAAATGGCTTGAAATATAACATGTTGGTGGAGCTGGGTTCCGAATATCGGCTTGTGGAGCTCTCGGGAGACCGATGTTTTCCACCCGGTTCTCCCGTCCCCGCAGCTCGGCGCATCTCTGTCTGATCGTGGCTTCTGTCTGCTGCGCGGGCTGACGGCTTGTGGAGCTCTGGATGGAAACCTGTCCACCCGGTTCGCCCCAACAGCAGCTCTGCACATCTCAGATCGCAGTGGCGCTTGTCTGCTGTGCGGCTGCCGGCTTGTGGAGGTCTCGGAGACCTCTGTGTTCCACCTGGTTTTACCCAGCGGTCAGCCCGGCGTATCTCTGACTCAGAAGCTCTGGTGTTGTGCACAGTTAACTTCGGTTGTAGCTAGGTTGCTACCTCCGTTAGCTTAGCTCCCACCTCCGCGTTAGCTTTAGGTTAGCTTCAGGTTAGCTTGTAGCTAGTTCGACCGGGTGTCGTCAGTTGATCCCAGCCTTACAGCCCCACCCTCAGCTCCACCTCTCTTCCCTTTTGTGGAATTGTCTGGGCTTGACGGAACCTGTGACACGGTCAAAATGGCGGTGGTGGCCACCTCCCATTTATCTTCAAAAATGTGTTATTGGAGCCTATGGAAACCCATTGTCCATATATTTATATGTCAATGATCTGAACCAAGGGTTGAAACAAAACCCACTGCACACTGCTGCCAACTAGCAGTCCACGTTTGAATTGCACCAAAAGAAAAGAAAATACACAAATGTTTACATGTAAATTAATCAAAAATCAGATACACTGTCTTGGAATATTGATATGACATTGCAGGAAAAAATATCACGATGTATTGCCATATTGATATTCTCTTAAATCCCTAGGAGATTTGGGAAAGAAGGTGTGGCTTAATGTTACTCAGAAAAATATAAAGACCAGAAGTGTTAGCCTTGGTATTTAATGTTGTCATTCCATCAAGCCTAATTCAGATATTTGTGAAAACATTTCTAAATCTTTTCCATCTGCTCTGGTTTTAGTCTAGACCGACACCGACGAGCAGAGCCGAGCAGCTAATATGTTGAATGTTTTTCCACACCGCGGCCCCTAGCTACCGTCTGGAGCCGGCATGTCACCGATCCCCTGGTGCTCAAGCTTCCCAGCCTCTCGTTAAAACTGCCTGGTGTGCAGCTTGATGGTGGCGTTTATCAGGCTGACTTTTTCTTTGTCTGACAATTAGATGAATTACTGATAAGATCCTGACCATGTTGTGGTGTTTGTCACATTGAGGGTGTGGATGACGGCAGACCAAGCGTGGAGGAGCTGACCAGGAGGCAAAAATGCAGGCTCGGATAAAGTAAAAATGTTTTTAATGGCAGAGCGGGAACAACAGAACAAAACAACACTGACAACAAACAATGATCCGACAAAGACTGATACAAGAAGGGAGGTATAAAAATACACAGGGGGAAATCAGGAACACATGGGCAGGTTGATAAGGGGCAGGTGACACAAATAAAAACTAATCAGGAGGCAGGAGAGAGTCACAGTCAGGGAGGCTGGAGCAGATTGTGACAGTGTTATGCAGTCAGTATGGGCCTTTACTTTTTCTAAAACACACATTAGAACATTTTATCAGATACTTCGAAGTAATAAACTTTGATGTTGGCTGAATGATTTTTTTTGTTTGTTTGTTTATTTGGCTTTTGCAGGAATATGCAGAGTCAGACAGATCTCATTCTTAGCATTTACTAAAAACAGATTTCAGGACAAATATCTTCTGTTTCACACACCCAGCACACTCGGTCCTGATCCTTAATACACAAACATCTGCTTACTGTGCATTTTAGTACATCACTCTCTGTAGGCCGATCCTCTTTCACCAACACAGGTTGTCTCTGCGATGCCAGAAAGCTGATAGTAGGAAGTGATATCTGTGGTTTGTTTTGTTTTCGTCACCTCATGTGGATGTGTCCCTTTGGCTGTTTTTAAAGGCCTAATTGTATTTGTAATCATGTTTTTTTTACACAGAGGCTATTTAATGTATAATTTTATTTAAATGTCAAGTTTACAGTATATTTTTAGATTTTTGCAACATAATCATCTTATTCTTTAAAAGATATTCAATTTAAGACATCTACACTCTTACAATAATTTTGTACCTATCAGTAAGCCTTTCTGAGGCTTTTCACAAGAATTTTCTGGGTTAGCAAGTGTGGATTTAAAGTGAAACGTCAGGAAGCATATGTAAACAAATCTACATGTAAACGTCCTCTGAAGCTGTGATTGCAAATCCTCACCCTGTGGCCTCTGCTGGCAGAAGGCTTGTAAACAAATGTTATGACAGGTTTGTGAGAGTGAAAAAGAGTAAAGTTAAGCTGCAGGTTGCATGCAGAGCTACTGACACAACCCTGTTAAAAAAGAGCTATCCCTGTGAGGCACTAGCATGCTTTTTTGTGCAGATTTGTCCTTATAGTAGATTTGTGCACATATGCAAAAAAATGTCCATAGCAGCTGATCTACTATACATGTGTATGAAACTTTCCTCACACATAGGAGATGGGGCTAAAAAGTGCAAACACCATTTAAAGATAAGAGTACATTAGCTACAGTTTGTGCACGTGACTGTTTCCTGATATTTTTGCTGTCTAAGCAAAACTCCTCGTAAATGTCACCCTTTATAGGTTGTTCATGCTGCATGCGTAAACCTGCAGCTTAATTATTGACTAAAACATCCTTCATCCACTCAAACCTTACACACACACACACACACACACTAGGTCTATTTCAGCTCTCCCTTGCACCACCTGGCCTTCTCCTGATGATGTAACCACAGCGTGAGTGAGTGCCTGATGTCCATGAGACCTGTGTGCGTGCGTGCATGTGCATACGTGTGTGTGTGTACCCTGTTCGTCTAAATTTTATCTGAGCACAGCAGGATGATGCGAGCTCCAACATCTGCGCTCGAGTTAATCCTCCATGGTTCCCTTTAGACCATCATTGAACCGGTCTATGTTTACGTCACTGATCCTGAGTGAAAGCTCACAGCAGCGAGTGTTTCTAGTAAATCATGTCAGCAACTTAATTCATTAGTCTGATGAAGCAAATAGGATAACCTCATTTAGAACAAGTGAGCTATTAGTACAACCCATATCAAGCCTTAAGATGTGCGACTCGCTGAATAATTCTAATTGGCTAATCTAGATTCATATAATAAGTGAAAATGTGTGCAGGCACATTGAGATCTAAAACTCATAAAATTAAATAAGGTTCAGTGGATTCCTAGAATTCAAACCCTAATGAGTCTGACCCCAAAACACGATCTGAAGCCCAATCTCAATACTCGCGCTGCGCTCTACCGTCCTCAGCAAAGTGCACTTGGAGGAAGTGCACAGTAAGGCTTCGAGTGCGTCGTACACAAGCGTGCAAATAATTGTCAAATTGGGGCAGGGAGTCTTGCATCATTGGCCGTGGCACATGCCAGGATGCTAGTCACTATTTGTGCAACTTTTTTTTAAAATCCTGGTAACACTTTACAATATGGGTCCCTTTATTAATGTAAGTTTATTAATGCTTAATAATGCCCTATTAAATCAAGTATTAACAACTGCTACAACCACATTATATAATGCATTACTAAGCAGAACCAGAATAGTTAACAGTAGTGGTAACATTATAAAGAGGACCCTTTGTTTATTAATGCTTAATAATGCATAAAGTAACAGAAAGGGTCCCTTATTGTAAAGTTCTACCAAATTCTTTATCAACAACTTTCGAACAATTATTTGACTAAATTAGCATTTATTGCTTTCCACATTAAGAGCATGGATAAATTTCATTATTCATC